GGAAGGCAGGTCCTGTCCCTCTCTCAGGGCTCAGGGCTCTTCCTGGGGGCCGTGGGGGGTGAGAGGGAGCAAGGAGAAGGGAAAGGAAATTCTGTGACACCTCCCAGCTTCCCCTGGAAAGGGCAAGGATGAATCAGAGCCCAGAGCCTCCAAATATAATTTCTGCTGGTTGGGCTTGGTGCCCAAGGCAACTGTCATGGCCAAGAGGACAAACCCTCACTTCTACTGAGCCCTTTGGCCCTGCCAAAGCCCTTGGCCATCCCTGCTGCAGCCTGTCCTTCACTGGCTGTGCCTGCAGCAGCCTGGAGACACCCATCTTGTTTTCTCATCTAGACCTTACCCTGGCTTTTCTGCACCTTCACTGATGTCTGTCTGCTCTCACTGCATGTTCCTTGAAACACAAAGCCAGGGGCTGAACCAGAACCTTCTCCAGCTGTCCTCTTGCACCACAAGGCTACACTTCAAATGATATCTCTTTTTCTTCACCTCTGGTCTAACCCTTCCAAGCTGCACTTAGTACAACTTTTCTTCTCTTTCCACTACCAAGAAAAACTGCATCATCTCTGGAACCTCCATTCAAGCAGTTTCAGGCTACTGCTGTAGTGCCATGAGCCTTCACTTCTCCACAGTAAAAAGCCCAGGTCCCTCAGCCTGTTTGGATTTGTGCTGAGACCAATGTTGGTCACACAGGGATGTCTGAGTTGCTGCCAAGCCCGGCTGACATGAAGCTAAGGACCTGTCCAGCTTCTCACACTGCCCCTGTCCTGCCAGCTGCTGCTCTGCAAGGAGCTGGAGGAGGCAGAGCCAGGACAGCTGACCCAAAGTGGCCACCGGGATGTTCCATGTGATGTCATGTTAGTATTGAAGCTGGGGGGAGTTATCCAGGGGAGCGTGATGGCTGCTCAGGAACTAACTGAGCATCAGTCTGTGGGTGGGAGTGGTTGCATCACAATTGGTTTCCCTTCTGTTTTGTTCTTAATCTCTTTTCTTTGAAGGTTTGGTTTTGGATTTTTTATTCTTTTTGGTCATACAAATGTATTTTATTTTTAATATTAGGATTAGGATTATATTTTGTTTCAATCATTAAGAAATTCTCAACTCAACCCACAGAAGATCTTTTCCCTCCAATTCTCCTTCCTGTCCCACTGGGAGGAGGCCACGTGAGTGAGGGGCTGTGTCTTGCTGAGTTGCTGGCTGGGGTTAAACCTTAACAGTCCTGTTGATTTGTGGTGCCCAACGTGGGGCTGGAAGGGTTCAGATAAGGACAGACCTGATCAGAGCATGTTAAAATGAAGCAGTTATAATTGTTCACTGTATTGGTTTCACAGTCCCTGGGCACCATGTTGGTTGCTTTGGTCTCTGAGTTGTTACGAGAGCTGTGGAATGTTCCACCTTCCACGCTTCTGGAGATGCTGGTGGTCACCTCTGGAGCCTCAAGGACATCACTGGGCTGTGTGACCCTGATGGTGAGACTGACCCGGGATCCAGAGTCAGCACTGCTGTCACCTCTGTCCTTCAGCTGCAACCTCCTGCAGACTGTTAATAATGACAGTCCTTACCATTTCTCCCTGCTGACCCCATGGATGGAACAGACATCTCTGGTGTTCAGGGGCCCTGAAACACCTGCTGCAATCAAACAAGCCCAGCAGTTCCAGCCTCCCTGCTTTGAAGGACAATGGCTGCAATAGAGCTCTGGGGAGGTCTGGCACATGGATCACATCACACTGCCACCAACCCACCAAGGCAAGTGCCACGTGCTCACCAAGGGGGAAGAAACCACCAGATGGCTGGAAACATCTTCTGTGTCCCCTGCCACCACCCAAACACTGTCCTGGCCTTTGAAAAACAAGTCCTGTGGTGACGTGGAACCCAGAAAGGATGCAGTCAGACTGGGCCAAGGGGCACAGCCCCCATCATGCCCCAGCCTCTGGGAACATCTAATGAATCAATGGAACACACTGAGGGCAAGGGGTGGTGGGACATTCCGACCCTGGGACACATACTTAGCAAAAGCTACCTACTCAACACTAGAGGACCTATCAATCGAGCTGCCCCTGCCCAGTCAAAGCTTCCATGTCCTTCAGAAGGGGTTAGAGTCCCTGTGGTGCACGTGAAGAGTCTGTTAGGGGAGCCAGTCTGGGATAGTCCTGCCTCAGGCAAAGGCAAACCCACCCATGGGATTGCCATGGCTAAGGGACCTGGGTGCACTTGGGGGCAGATGTGGGAGGGTCCTGGTTTGAGGCAGGATGAAGCCAATTTTCTTTGCCTGATTACTTTTCTTAACTGAACTCTCTTTTATGGAACAGCAAGTTTCCAGCTAGTGCACTGATAACTCTGGAATGTTTCTAGACAGTGCCAAGACACCAAGGACACTTTGCTCTGCTTATTGAATCTGTTGCGTTGGAGAGTAAAGGAGCAGAGGAGTCGTGTTTCCAACACACCTGTAGGGAGGAGCAGACTAGACAGATGGCAAACCTGGCCCAAAAGAGTATTCCATCCCATATGTAAGATCAGGGATCATGGAATTCAAGCTGTAAGGGTAGTGAGGCACTGGAATGGGTTGCCCAGGGGGGGTGTTGAGCAGCTCATGGGATCAACATCTCTGGAATGTTTTAAGGCCAGATTGGATGAGATTTTGTGCGACCTGATCTAGTGGTAGGATTCCCAGATCATGGCAGGGGAGATGAAACTTGGTGATCTTTAGAGTCCCTTCCAACATTAATGATTCTAAGAATCTGTGATTCTATTATTCTATGATATATATTTATATGCACTGGTGAGATTCCTCTAGAGGTCCTCTTTGGTTCAGGCCTCAATACCTCACTATGGCCTTGTATGGAATGTATGGCCATGACATCACACTGGGGCAGCAGAGCCTTCAATGGGATGTATGGCCATGACATCACAATGGGGCAGTAGAGCCTTCAATGGGATGTATGGCCATGACATCACAATGGGGCAGCAGAGCCTTCAATGGGATGTATGGCCATGACATCACAATGGGGCAGTAGAGCCTTCAATGGGATGTATGGCCATGACATCACAATGGGGCAGTAGAGCCTTCAATGGGATGTATGGCCATGACATCACAATGGAGCAGCAGAGCCTTCAATGGGATGTATGGCCATGACATCACAATGGGGCAGTAGAGCCTTCAATGGGATGTATGGCCATGACATCACAATGGAGCAGCAGAGCCTTCAATGGGATGTATGGCCATGACATCACAATGGGGCAGTAGAGCCTTCAATGGGATGTATGGCCATGACATCACAATGGAGCAGCAGAGCCTTCAATGGGATGTATGGCCATGACATCACAATGGGGCAGTAGAGCCTTCAATGGGATGTATGGCCATGACATCACAATGGAGCAGCAGAGCCTTCAATGGGATGTATGGCCATGACATCACAATGGGGCAGTAGAGCCTTCAATGGGATGTATGGCCATGACATCACAATGGAGCAGCAGAGCCTTCAATGGGATGTATGGCCATGACATCACAATGGGGCAGTAGAGCCTTCAATGGGATGTATGGCCATGACATCACAATGGAGCAGCAGAGCCTTCAATGGGATGTATGGCCATGACATCACAATGGGGCAGTAGAGCCTTCAATGGGATGTATGGCCATGACATCACAATGGAGCAGCAGAGCCTTCAATGGGATGTATGGCCATGACATCACAATGGGGCAGTAGAGCCTTCAATGGGATGTATGGCCATGACATCACAATGGAGCAGCAGAGCCTTCAATGGGATGTATGGCCATGACAAGGTTGGAGTTTGCAGCTGAGTCTGCCTTGTGGAGAGGAGCCCCAGCAGGGGCTGAGGGCACTGCCTGCAGGCACAGGGAGAGGATCCAGGCCGGGAGAGAGGATAAAGGCAGGCAGGAGGGGCAGGAGGGCTGGGAGCTGCTGAAGGAGACATCTTCACAGCCCTGGGCATGGTGAGTGTCTCTTTCCATGCCCCTCTGTGCGGGTGGCAGGAACCAGTCCTGGAGATGCTGGCTTGGACAGGAGACCCAGACTCCTGCAGCTTTGCAGGGAGCCAGGAAGAGGTTTGTCCAGGCCCCTGAGAAAGTCCCTTCAGCCTTTCCTGTGCCTGCAGGAAGCCCTGCCATCAGCTCTGTGCTCTCCTCAGGGCTGCTCTGGTCTCCTCTTGAGGAGTGGCCAGCACAGAGCTGCCCCTGGGCAGGGTCCTGCTGCCAGGAGGGTCTGCAGGGCAGAGCTGAGCACCCGCTGGGTGGGATGGGGCTGTGAGCAGGGCCAGGGAGGAGAGGTGGGGACAGCTTCCAGCAGGAGCAGCTGCAGTCAGGGCCCTTCCCCGCAGCCAGCCCTTGGTCTCCTCTGCTGCACAGCAGAGCTCCTGGCTCCAAGGCACTGGGATCTCAGCCCGAGTCACCTCCTGAGCAGCTTCTCATTCTATTTGTCATGTTGTCACTGCTGTGGGGCAGGAAAAACTCTTTTGGCAGTTGGGCTCCTCACAGCCCAGTTGGCCAGTATAGACCAGAGCTCCAGCCAGGGAGATGGAGGAAGGTTCTGTAAACAAGGAGAGAGTCAATATCTGTTTTCAGGGGGTGGGGTCTAGGGGAGAGAATGGGAAGAGATTTGCTCAAGGTCTTCCACCTCAGGTGTGGTGGGGAAACTAGAGCACAAGGCTAAAACCAAAATCCCCTCAACTTTCCTCTGCAGTGAGGTGAGTTGGGAGTGAGAATGATGAAAAGCTCTTAGATCCCACAAGTGGATCCAACCTGTGGTCATCCCTTCTTGCTGCTTCCCTGTGGCTGCAGGGCAGGGCTCACTGCTCCAGGGCTCACAGCTCCCTGGTGAACCATCATCCAGAACCAACCAGATTGTACAAAAAGGACCTGCCCAATGTCTTCAGGAAAGACAAGAGGCAGCTTGTGGTCTTTAAAGAGTAATTACTAGATTTTTTTTTCCTTACCTTCTTCCTGCTCATTTTTTTGATGGACAGGTCTCCATGCCCAGAGGCAGCAGATGTCCAACAGCAGCTCCATCAGGCAGTTCCTCCTCCTGGCATTCGCAGACAGGCGGGAGCTGCAGCTCCTGCACTTCTGGCTCTTCCTGGGCATCTACCTGGCTGCCCTCCTGGGCAACGGCCTCATCATCAGCACCATCGCCTGGGACCACCACCTCCACACCCCCATGTACTTCTTCCTGCTCAACCTCTCCCTGCTCGACCTGGGCTGCATCTCCACCACCCTCCCCAAAGCCATGGCCAATTCCCTCTGGGACACCAGGGCCATCTCCTACTCAGCATGTGCTGCACAGCTCTTCTTCTTTTTATTCTTCATCACAGCAGAGTATTGTCTCCTCACCATCATGTGCTATGACCGCTACGTGGCCATCTGCAGACCCCTGCACTACGGGACCCTCCTGGGCAGCAGAGCTTGTGTCCACATGGCAGCAGCTGCCTGGGCCTCTGGGTTTCTCACTGCTCTGCTGCACAC